CCATTGCGATTCCAGCGGGCAGCCTTGGGGGGGGGGGTGGAACAGCCGGTTCCGTTCTACTCTGGTGTTCCTGGGAAATCTGAGATATTCCCAAACCAACCAACAGATATAACCACTCCATGTCCACTCATGTCTTCCCCAGGGCCTCCTTCAGTTAGACTAAAGCACATTGCCTAGGAGGCATCCGAGGTAAATGTTGAAACCACCTCAGTTGGTTCATTTCAATATAGAGGAGTACTATTCTGCACTCTTAGTGTGTTTGGAAATAATCTAGAATAGCATTTTACTGAGGTTAGGTTAGGTTAAGTTGGGAAAATTTTCACACACAGTTCTCAATTATGTTTTGCATGGGGTAGATTTACTGCAATAAGCTGTTAGTTGTTAAGAGGCTATATCTATCTATCTATATATTTAATATAAAATAATACATATATATGCGCTTTAGATTGGATGTCAAGAGGAGTTCAAGTATTTAGGAGCCTTGATCACAAGTGCGGAAAGTGTTGAGCAGATGATTGACAACAAGCACCTCAGTTCGTCGGTGAGCGACTTGTTTGTCACGGTGACTGCAGAGCAGAGCATGAAAGCAAAGCTGTCAATTTACTGGCTGATGTGCAGCCATAAGCTGTGGATAGTGATATAAAGAATGAAATCACAGATACAAGTGGCGGAAATGAGATTCCTCTCAAGAGTGTCTGTTCTCACCCTGAGAGATAAGGTGAGGCTCAGTCACTAAGGAGCAGAGACGAGCAGCCGCTCTTCCGGATCAAAAGTAGTCATTTCAGGTGGTTTAGGCATCTATATAGAATGACTCATTCAGGCATTTCCAAGACATGCTGGTGAGATCATGTCTCTGAGATGGCATGGGCACGCCTCAGTGTTGAGCCAAGACAGCAAAAAGCAGAGGCTGGGGGGACAAAAATTTAAGGTTACTTATACTACTATTTAATGATCTGAGAGGGAGTAAAGAATAAATACAAAGACAGAATTCAAAGGCTTAGTCTACCTGTGATACACAGTCCACAAGTACAAATAGTTGAATGTCACTGCTTGTACAGTAGAATAACAAAACTGTATTTTTTCTTTCTTTTTTTTGTAGGGTTAAAAATATCTTTAATCTGGAACTTAACCTGTTCCAAGCATAAATTACATATCCATGTACATGGCGAGGTAAGCCACCTTCATGTTACAGAAGCCCCAGGATTAATCCCAAGAGTCACCTGGATAAGATGAAATGCTGCTTCGTAGTGTAGGCCTCCAGTGCAGATGGATTTGTGTCTCCTCCTGGGATCAAACCAAGCACGTAGAACACAATAATATGGAACTACTGCCTCTAATTTCTCATAGTCCTAAGTGTGTTTGTTTGTTTTTTGTTGTGTGTGTGTGTGTGTGTGTGTGTGTGTGTGTGTGTGTGTGTGTGTGTGTGTGTGTGTGTGTTTTAGATTACTTTTTTTAAATACTGGTATTAGACTGAAATCCTTTTTTCTTTAGGAAAATGTGTCTTGTCTTCCTCCCCTCACCCCAAATGCTCCTCCCTGATCCTGGTTCTGCCAGCAGTTCCTTTCTGTTAAAAGGGAGTTTTTCCTTCCCACTCTTGTCAAAGTGCTTGCTTGAATATTAGACTGAATACTTTACTCTTGCAGTTGCTGCCTTTATAAATAGCCTGGTGCTAAATTACTGCCAATACTGTGAGCTCGGTTTTAAATAATTGTTGTTACATCTTACTTATTGTTTTCGCTGGATTTCACTTAAATTTAACATGACTGTTACAAAGCATATGATTTTAGGTATGAGCCCCTGTTTGTCCTCAATTTTTCATTCTAATATTGTCTGACGTCACTTTGAATTCAAAGCTCATTTGAGTACACTGCTAGACAGAATAAGCCCTTTGTCCCCATATATTCTCTTTCCTTTCAATAACCTCCAAAACACCCAAGGTAGAGTATGTAGAAATAAACCTTTTGCACTCTAGCCATTATTTGTTTCAGTCTCTTGTGCGTCACAGAATATCCTTTTTAATATTGTTTATGGACCATAGTTGCATAAGGAAGGGACTGTGGGTTATTTTTACTGCACACAAAATGTTGACCACTGTGGACTACATTTTACTGTAAAAGCTTGAAAAACAAACTCTGTCCTATACTCATTTACCAAAAAGGTGCTTTTTTGTACTTTTGTTTGATGCCCAATGGTACAGATACCTAATCTTCAAAGAAATGCTTTATATTCTGTTCCCCCTTTAATATTATGTTTGTTAACATAATAGTTCATTATTATTATTCAAAGCATACTTCTTAAAGTAAATATTTAAGTTTGTGTGATTACGTTTTCTGGCCGTCCAAATATGGACCATTTAAACAAAATAAGAGAATTTAGCAAATGTTTCTGTCGTTCTGTTAAGTTATGAACATGTTTAGCCTGAAGAGGAAGTGCCTGTTTGGCTTTGCCTTCCAAGGTATATTTGCAAGAAATCAAAAAGTGCAGCAAGGTTTTTAACAGCTGTTTCTGTAGTGTTCACTGAAAGCATTTCAATTCAGCTCAATCGAGTTCAAGTGAATTACTTCATATATATAATTAATATAACACCAAATCACAAATGCAGCCACCTCAAGGTGTTTTATATTGTAAAGTAAAGATCCTAAAATGATACAGGGAAAACCTCAACGATCACATGACCTCCTGTGAGCAAGAAGTTGGAGACAGTGACAAGGAAAAACTTCCTTTTAACAGGAAGAAATCTCTGACAAAACCAGGCTCAGGAAGGGGCACACATCTGCCAACTCAAACCAGTTCGAGATGAGGGGCAGAAGGCATGCTGGTAAACACAGAGAGATTGACAATGATTCTAAAAGACTGTATGTTTTAAAGATCTTTAAAGGAAGAAAATAGGTTTGAAAACTGGCTCCATAGGCAATGCAAGAAAGTCAAAAACAACTAAAAGATGGACAAGAATAATAAATTAATAACAGCATAGACCATAAGATATAAATGGTAGTAGTTACCATCAGTTAACACCTTCGAAATCAAAATGGATACAAGCAATGGTTGCCACTATGTCTTGCTCTTTTATCTTCTGTCATCCTTTCAAGACTCTGTGACACACAAACAAAATGTCCAGCCTTTTATAAATGTAGAGAGGTCCTACAAATAATCTAGTGTAAAATAAACTTTGGAGTCAAAACCTTCCCCTCAGCTTTTCCCCATAAATTACACTGCTGGAGGATTCTTTTGCTACAGATCATTGTACATGCAATGGAAACATTTATACTTACACACACAAGGCGTTCCTGGTCTTTTATTGGTCTTTTGACTTGTTTAAGTTGTATTATATCTTTTGGGTATCATCCTTCATTTAATGTAGACACTGTCATTAAATAAAACAGCAACTAAGTGTTTCAACCCTGTTCAGCAGCCACCTAGTAAGGTTTACCACATAGTTTGTATTATGCCATAAACTTCTTTTTAAAACATATACTCAAAACAAAGGGTTCCAAGACTTTGTTTAGATTTCAGGGAGGACTCAGACATGTCTGTTTTGTATCTGCAAAGCTTTCTGCTCATGGTGCCTCTCTAGCCTCTCTCTGAAGAAACAAAGTATTGGAGATTTTGTTCCTGGTAACCACCCAGATACAATCCACTGCAGTTCAGAATTGCCTGAAGTGCCATCAGTCAGGCAAAAAAGTAGGTTTTCCTCTGACTTGATTTTTATTAACCTTTATTTTTCAATAAATGTAGCGTGTTTAAAATTGGCATATTGATATGGTTTGATTCAATTCTTAAATGGTTCCAAATGCAGGATGTCGCAAAAGTGGAAAGGCATGCAGTTAACAAAGGGAATTTAATAAACTTACAAAAGATAAAACAGTGCATTCATACCGAAGCTTTAGGTAAAATGAAAAAACAAAACAAAAACAATAGCTCAATGATCTGAAGTTATCTGGAAAAAAGACAGGACAAACACACAAAGAAGCGCAATTACCAAAATAAAACAGGAAGTAGAAACAAGGAAGGCAAGGGAAGTAACACATCAACAAAACAGAGATAGATAAAAGAGAAAAGAAAAACTGGAATGCTGGGGGAAATATAAACATGCTAAAACACTTGACTGATACAGAATCCTAGATGCTCAGTGGTCCTGGGTCTTCTTTCTCATTTCTTTAAATTTTTGTGATGCTCCAAATGTTTTCAGTTTGTGAAAGAATTGAACTGCAGGCAAGGCAGTTCAGCACCTGGACTGTTCTTCTATGAAGTTGTGCTGTTATTCTGAAACCTATAAATACCTCTCAGCATTGATGGTGCCTATTAAGCCGTCAATTCCATTACGACTTTTGAACTGAATGGTCATAACGAGTCTCTTGTTTTTAGTCTGGAGGATGCAGAGTCAATTTTTCAAAAAAGAAGAAGAAGAAAATTATGATTTGTTTGACCACAGAACAGATTCTATTTTCCCTCAGTCCATTTTCAATGAGCTTTGGTCCAGAGAAGATGACAGCATTTCTGAATCATGTTCATGTATGGCTAATCTGTGAACTGTGCTCACAGACAGTGTTCTTGAGTCCATGTAATGATCTTCATGACAGATTTCTCCAGATTTTCTTCAAATGTCATTCAATTCAAAATGATTTTATGAAATGTTTCAGTTGAAAAAATTCTGAATTACATTATTATTGTTATTATTATTATTATTAGCATTACTCCATTTCCATGTATAAAAAGCAGAAGTAAGGCCAATTAAGGAATTGTTATTGCCTCAGTCTGATCCAGGGACATTTAACGTTAATTTTAGCATCTCTTTTCCCATAACAGAGTTGGCAGAAGAGTTATTTTTTGTACTAATTATTTGGTGTTTCACGTATTTGTGTGATAGTCCTATTACAGCATTACAGTAATAAATGTAGAATTTGCCTGCTTTTGGACTGAAGTTATGTGCACCGTATTCTTCTTTCAAATGATTGTCATTTATCTATGCTTTTCATCATTTTGCACTCTCTCTGTTTCAGGTGGTTAAGATGATGATTGTTGTAGTGGTGATGTTTGCCCTCTGCTGGCTGCCATACCATATTTACTTCATTGCAACAGGTCTCAACAAGTTTCTGAGCAAATGGAAGTACATCCAGCAGGTATACCTGTCGATCATGTGGCTTGCAATGAGTTCCACTATGTACAACCCCATCATCTACTGCTGCCTCAACAGCAGGTGGGTAACAACAGTGTTGCTAATTTAGCATTGCTACTTAACGAGACAACAAATGTGCAACTAATTTTGCAAAGGCACCTGATGCATGAGGGAATTCATTTAAGGTCTTTTACACCTGTATTACATAATGATTTGATTTTTCAATATATTTTTTGGCATTTTAACTTTATTGGCTTTATTGGATAGACACAGCGAAGACTGACAGGAAAGCGGAGGGAAAGACAGAGGGGAAGGCATGCAGCAAGAGGCCACGGGTCGGACTCAAACTCGGGGTGGCCGCTTTAAGGCACGCGGCATATGGTCACCTGCTCATCCGACTGAGCTAAACCGGCGCCCATTATGATTGTTGTTTATATTGAGATGAAAGCAGTTAAGGGATTGTCATTCCCTCAGTGCATTTGTATGATGACTAGGAAGGCCTACAGTGTTATCTAATGTTAGCTATGCAAAGTAAGCTTCTCTATCCAAGAAGTATCATAAGCTACTTATCATAAAGAAGTCAGCTAATGCTTAACTGTTAGCTAACTCAAGTAGCTGTGTTTCAGTAGTAATATATCAGTTGCAATACTATTGCCTGGGGGAATGCTACCTCCAAAATAACATTTGCTATGCTAGCCACACTTGGTCAACAATGCAGAACAGACAACTACGTTGCAGCTTCACATCTAGCATCCCTACTAATAGTGACAGACACCACTTCACTTCCCACTAAAGGCAAAGGTGAAAATGAAGACATGACCCTGTGTCTGTGTCGATAAGATACAGAGCGTACTCATAATATGTGTCTTGAAACTCATCAGAATTGCCCTTGAATCTTAAGCCAACTGCAGACACTGTCCTAAGGTGCTTCAACACTGACTGGCCTCTCAGACAACCTTGTTCTGCATTTACCCAGTGTGAGCCTTGGCATTCTAGACACATAACTTGGGGCAAGCAACTCATCAGTGTAGATTGGTGGGTGATGATGTGTTTGTCGGATCTTCTCATCACTGATGACCATGATCCACTTGTGGCCACATTGAGTCGTGGCCACAGGCCTTAAGAGCAGCTTCGGCAAGTGATAGGTCATTGGGTACCTGAGGGTTGGACTAGAGGATGTTTGTGTTACCACCACTCAGTCCAGGCTTGGGACAGTTATAGTTCTCAGGTACAAATTCAGTGGCCTCATTACTCTCTTCACCAAGGAGAAAAATGACCTTCTTGGTAGTTTTCTCAGAGGCTCTTTGGAGCAGCTGTCTCCACAACCCCTACCACTCAAATGACAGGGTATTTAAATCTGCACAGCACATATACTGATGCTGATACTAGTTTCTCCCACTCAAAAGTGGAGATACTTTCAAGTGCCAGAAACAGAAACAGTTGTCTCAACGGTGCCACCACTCTGCCAAAGATGAATTCAAAAATGAAAAATAGACCAAAAAGGCATTTCTATAAAAGGTTTTGGTGACTTCAGAGAGTGATAGCATTCTCCAGATGGATGGATGAGTGGATGATACAGAGCCAGCTGTTCTGCACCTCACTATGCAGAAAAACAATTTCCTTCATGCATTGCAGACCAGCCTGCCACCATGGTCACTGAGAATAGAACATTCAAAACACAGAGACACAAATTGGCTTATGAGAATAACAATAACCAAGTGATACAGAAAGCAGTTTGCTGTATGCCTTCCTCACCTCATACGGTGGTTCATTTACAAGCCAAGGAGGGGAACACTTCCTTTTTCAATTAGAAGAAATTATGCAAGATTTAACAGAAATAAAGGCCAATTAAATGACAAATGAACTCATTTTTTTGTCATGTGTTTTTCTCTCACTACAACAGGTTTCGAGCAGGTTTCAAGCAAGCATTTCGTTGGTGCCCTTTTATTAAGGTGTCCAGCTACGACGAGCTGGAACTACGGTCTACACGGCTAACCCAAACACGCCAGAGCAGTATGTACACACTGACACGGATGGATAACACCATGGTAGTAGTTTATGACCCTGCTGAAGGTGATGGCAGCGCTGTAGGTGGCACCGGAAGGAAGCATTCCCTGCCTGGTAGGAAGAGAAGCTACGTCACTTCTCGGCACACAGAGATTGCTGGTTGCAGCGACACCACTGTGAAAACACAAAATGGAAGCGCTCCCAGCGCTCAGCCTGAAGAATTCCCTTGAACATGAGCATTTCCAGATGTGTGTGTACCACAAAACATTTCCATGTGTAAAGCTTTATACGCATGCATTATTACACCGCAGATGTACAAAAAAGTGCGCACGGTGCTTGGTTAGCTTAGAAATAGAAATACTGAGAGCAAAAAGTTTAACTCTTGTTCATTCAAGTTCACCCTTTGATACAAAACACTGTAAGAAGCATTTAAACACAGCCATCTGTACAGCTCATTCAGTTGATGATAAAATTATTCAGTTCTGATGGAGATCAGATCAAAAGCCTGTTTTTTATTTCACCCCATAACAGCTGTGAACTTCACAAAGGATGGGCGTTAATGGCTTCAGGAGAAGCCATGAACGAGTGGCTGCAGAGAGTCACCAGCGGAACAGCTGCTGATGGAATTCTTTCTAGCACTACATGGCTCTGTGTGTAACTCTTGGTTATGCAACTGTTTCCTGGTGACCTACAATAAGCCAGAGGAGAAATCCAGTTCATTTCCACCATGTCAATAAACAGGCAGCTCAATGAGCTTACTGAACACAAACTAGCCATCTAGGAGCTAGGGTGTCATTGTTTTATTTATATTTTTCAGTCAAGTGAAAGGAAAACAATGCAGGAAGTTGCATGGTGACATGCAATATATAAGGATAGCGTTGTTCCGCTACCGGTGCCACTGCTGTTTTAACGCTGTTTCCCTGTGTTGCATGGAAATTGTTGCTTGTGTGAACATCAAGTGCTGAGATGGCACCAGGCAGTACGACAACCTCTGTTGTGTTGAATTTACAGTTTACAGTGGAAGCATACTGTGGCAGATCCTCAATGACTCAGCATTCATCAAGTCTCAGACATGAAAATTTTCATATTTTTGGTCTATTCATAGATTTTGCTGTTAAGAGATTAGATTTGTCGCTTGTTTTGGTAATCAAGCATAATCATAGTTTTGGTTTCCTATTGAACATACTGAGCTTTGGAATAAAAAAAAAATAGATTTTGTGATCAAAGCTAAATACAGTTTTGGTATTTTGTCATTTATATTCCATGTTGATTAACACATAGCGAACAGATATTCAGCTGTCACATAGTGTAGAAAATTTTTTTTATTTTTTTTTTGTAAATCAACCATAAGGTACAGCCATACAAACACAACACAAATGTCCTTAATTATCCTAAAGAGATTTGAATGTTAATAGACTCATGAAAGTATTTTCAAAGAATGTGAAAACATATATGCTGTGCATTTTAGTGTTTTGCATTTTTAAGTTGTCCAATCATTTTTATTGAGGTTGGTTAAATATTGAGACGTATTAATCAAAGTATTTTGCTGTTTCTGTGTGTAAATAATGTGTTTGTTTGAATGTACAGCACGGTGTGTGCCTCTCTCTGTTCAGCGGTGACTAAATTGTTTGTTGTGTCTTTAAAGTTTCTTTCAGCATGGGTCTCTTTCTTTCTTCTTGGTGTAAAAGCAGTATACTATATTTTAAACACTTAATTATTATTCCTGGTAAATGTCAAGTAATTTGTTAATATGAGAATGAATAACTTTCTAATTCGATATCCCATTTCTTATATAAAGGCCTCCAAAAGATTTCTCATTGCTCTGCCCTGTGAGTACTAATATATTTGCTTGTAGCTTTATTGTATATTGGTCTTCTTCGTCGCATTATGAGTGTTTACAAGTGACAGAATATGCTTATGATGAAATGTAGCTGTGACTTATTGCAATTTTTAAAAAGAAGTTAAATGTAAAAAAAAACAAAAACCACTACAAAAGATAGCCAGAAAACTTTTCAGTATTACTGTTCGTTTATACAAAAGATTATCACTGTGCTGTGCTGCATCCAAAAATAATGTTTTGTGCAGTTTGCTTTGCCACATACAGTACATTGCAACATTTGATTTTGCAGTTACAAGATTGTTTGCGCTTTATTACTCATCTTGCGTTATCTTTTCATTATTGTGATGAATTTCTGTGTCGACGTAAGCCCGAGTGTTTCAATAATTTAAACATGTCCTTTTGTAAAAAATTAGCTTACTCAATTTTGAGAAGTGGGCTACCACCTTAGCACAAAAAATAAACGAGAAACAATGTACTTGCTGGCAATCAGAGATTAAAAAACACGTCAAACTATATTTGATGTATGCATGTGTAATGCTAAACATTACTCTCTGCAGACATAATCGCTGCACAGCACAGACCTTAGTTCTACTCTCTGTCATTATGTCAGTTTTGGTGCCTGCAGCTACTAAACAATAATTCACATCTATTTTGTGGTTTAGCAGCTTCTGTCTGATGGTGAAATCCAGTGCAAAGATCAGTCCCTATGAAAGGAAAAATCGACAGCACAATGTTACAGATTTTAACATTAAATTCAACTTTAATAAACAGCCAGTGTGTGTTGTGTCCTCTGTCTTGTTATATAGAAGTGTTTAACAAACCAGACAAATTTATTACAGTGGGGGGAAAGGGGGTTCAGTGCCAGGTACTCATCTGCCTTCTATCTCTCAAGGGGACCATTCAAAGCTGTTGATGCAATTTTTCAAAATGATATAAACCTATAAATGGGTCTACAAACTGCCTTCATGACAGATATCACAGGGGAGTAAATGTGATAGGCCTTGTGGGCGTAGTAAAGTCTGTATGAGTTTGGCTAAAGGGGAAAAAAAATAACAGTATTAAGGCAACTTGAAGGTGACAAAAAAACAGCTTTGAGGTAGCTTATTGAGTTTTCACAGGGAGCTGGCTAATAGTGTTTAGCTGTTTTGAGAATGAGTAAATGAAATTCTATCTGCTGCTGTCTCAATCCCCTAAAATTTTCAGTTACAAGCTGTGCCGCTTGGATATGTTTCATCTCTCTGCCGCCTCAAAGCATCATTACCGCATGGCTTGTCTAATCTAAAAAATGCTTTGAAATTTATGTGCTTAGCAGGAGCTTTTAGCTTCCGGTTGTTTTGTCATCAAAGCAGAACATTTGAGATAACTTTCCTTGATTACTTCTTTCTTGTTACTTAGTCTTCAGTATTTTGGCTGCAGCATTTGATGCGACGATCAGCAGTCAAGTAAAAAGAAAAACCTGTCTACATGAAAAGTGAGTTAAACTCATCAGACAGCCGATACTTTTTTTTGTCTGTGGTGGTATGTCTCTGTTGATCGGATCATAATCTCACAGTTTAAAAACAGGAGGTTTTTGGTTTTTTTTTTACATCGTAGGCAGGGAGTGCAAACAAACGATCATCTGGAGATGAAGCAGATTACAAAGGCTGAAAGAGACAGTGGGTACAACAAGACTTTAATGACTGATAGTAGTACAACATGTAAATATCTGGGGGTGTAGTTTGTCCTTTTCAGAGGATAGCATGATAATTAGGACCAGCAGGGAAACATCCTCACAGTGTTCATGCAAATCAGCAGTAAATCTAATGCTCCTTAAAAATACACTCTATCACATTTAACTCCATCAAGGAATGATTTTTAGACCCAAATCTTTCAATTTACAACCTAAAAATTTGCATTTGTGTCAGAACACAGAGCTGAAACATGAAATACTGCAAAGCACTGAATCTTGAGTCAATACATATTAGGGTGATACAGCAGGTACAAGCATGGATCTGCAACACTAAATAAGGAAATTGCTGTGCAGTAGTCCATGTCTAGAGCATTCGGTTTAGGAGTGCTGGTCTGCTGGTCTGTGTCAGATCGTTTGGCAGGTCATTCCTTTTTTTGCAGTGTGGCATCTTACCCACCAGTGTGGTATAAAGCTTCCTATCAAAGTGGACATTTAATGCACAATAACTTATTTGCCTTCCTGTGTTGAAGAAAAAATATTTTTAATTGCTCTGGAAACTGATTTTAATGTTGCTAAAACACTGAATGATTCTGTTTCAGTGACTGCAATTAATGTTGCTTTTATGGCAGCAGAGAACACTCAAACCCTTTTTGCCCCACCTTGCAAGAAGGCTAGCAAATGATGTGTGAAAAATGCAGTCCTATTTCTCCACACAGTTGTGCTCATCAGCATTAATATCTTGCTCCCCACAAAGAATCCAATGCTTCTCAAGATGAAAGAAAGTCATGAAAAAAAAAATTGCACATATCCGTTGGGCAGTTCAAAACATTTTGCTTATACTCCCAGTCTGAAGGAATAAACCTACATTGTTGGGCCCACAATGTAACTCACACGAAATGTGCTAAAAACAATGCACACTTGTTACAATCTATTTTTAAATACTTGCAAATATTTTAATATTTGCTTAAATGTTCTGACTTGGGACTGCAGAACAAAATAATTTACACTCAATATCCTTATCATGGCATGCTGCAGCAATTTTCTTTATTTGACAAATGTGTGGAAAAAGTTTTTCAGCACTTTCTTAATTAGCCTGATTGAAAACAGCCGGGGGTGACAGGCTAATTTCTGGGCTGTCTGAAGATTGCCGCATTTGCCTTTCGTTACATTTTGACACTCCGCAGTAGGCAAACAGAGGCATAAACAGTGTGATGTTTAAACTCTGCAGGCATCTACCTACCTATCTTAGTTTCCTAGTTCTGTTTCACTTACACTTTAAAGGCTATGTGGCACTTTAACAATACAATTTTAAATGCTATTACTACACCTCAAAAGTGCATTCAAATTGAACGCTTTCATCCCACATTAATGGATTAACAGATAACCAAGTGGTGGAGGATTTTTGGAAAAATAGTCATTTCCAGAACATTTGACTCATTTGATTCACTCTCTCCTTAAATAGCCCCAAAACACAGACAGGATGTAACGCAAATATAGATAAAACAAAATGGACAAAAATACTTTTGACTTTAAACAGATCAAGCTTTTAATAACGGTACAATAAATCATTTTTCCCACAACTGGCAAGGCTCAAAAGTCAGCCCTGTGACTTTTCATTTGTCTAGGGTTTAGAAAACTGAAAAAGATTTTGATCCTGATCCTGTCAGACATAATTAATAGCTGAATGAATAGATTGGGTTCTATGAAGCTAAAGGGATAAACTTAGCAAAGACTCCAACACACAGCAACCAGCAACAAACACAAACATTAGCTTGTTTTCATTTTGTAAAACCTGCATTATACTTCTTAATGGTGCCCTGTGTGGGTTTCTGGCAACTTAATCATGTAAGCTTTACCTTTTGTGCACCCTGTCCACCTTCTTTTTCTAACATAAGTTTAAATTACCTGTGTTTTAAATGATGACAAATGGCATTTGGTAGGTGGTCATTAGGGTTCTGTTTTGCAGATCTCTGTCAAATTGTTTACAGTTTGCTCTCATAGAAAATATATCTCACCCCAGGATTGCCATTCTGTCCTATGTAAGTGGCAGGGTTGACATACAGGCCACTGTAATATTAGCTGGCAAGAGTTAAATGCTTAGACTGATTCCAAAAAATGCAATACAGTCCTCAAACATGGGTCCGAACCAAGAAGGGATCATTAAATTTTTAGGATGTTGTTGCTGCAGATTTGTCAGCTGTGCATTCATGATGCAAATCTGTTCCATCACATCTCAAAGGGGCTAAACTGGATTTAAATCTGGTGGGTGTGGAGACCATTACAGTAAAACAAACTCATTGTCATGTTCGTGAAACCAACTTTAGATGATCTGAGCTTTGTGACGTGGAACAGATGGAAAATAGGTACACTGTGGTCATAAAGAGATGGAAATGATCAGGAATGATTCTCTTGTGGGCTCAGTTGGTTCTAACGGAGCTGAGGAAATAGTTCTGACATCATTACGTCACTGCCACCATCAGCCTGAACCACCAATAGTTGGTGAGATGAATCCTTTGATCGACACCAAATTCTGACCGTACCATCTGAATGTCACAGCACAAGTCAAGACGCATCAGACCAGGCAATGGTTTTACAATCTTCTAATGTCCAATTTTGCAGAGGCCATGCAAATTGTAGTCTAGATTTCCTGCTCTCACTTGACAGTAGCAGCACCTGCTGTCATTTTCAGACACACTGAGAACGATCACTCACTGGATATTTTCTATTTTATGGATCATTGTCTGCAGCAGTTTCAGTCCAGCTCATCTGACACCAAGAACAATGCTACGTTTAAAGTTACTTCAATCACCTTTCCTCCCAGTTCTGAAGCTCAGTTTGAACTTCAGCAGGTTGCCATCACCATATCTACATGTTTAAGTGCAATGAGTCACTACCATTATGAGTGGCTATATCAGGTTGAGCCAAAAGGTGGACCAAAAAACCAGACTCAAAAGAACAATGTTTGAGTTAATGTAACCTTTATTTACAGAGACAGTGCTAAATAACCAAACAGGAAAGGCTTTCACTGTGAAATCTGAAACAGACCAAAGGAGCTGCGATTTCAGACTGAGACACAATTGGAAGGAGAGGTGAGTCGGTGGAAACAGACACTGGAGAAAGGTTAAATGAATGCAAGGAATGCAGACAGTAAGTATCGCACAGAGGCCAGTAAGTGTTACCACATAGGTAGTAAAATAATCTGTCACCCAGCTCCACCCCAGACACACCTGCTCGCAAAAAACAAAACATGAAACAAGATACAACACAAAACCAGAGCTAGTCTACCCATACCCTAACAGGCTGTCCATTAGTATTTGTGTTAACAAGCAGGTGTAAGTAATCAACTGGTTATTAAGTGTCTCATAGGTTGCTCACTCTGAGCTAGAAAAGATTCCAGTGATCTGCCTCATTCTCAAGAATCAGTTTAAAATTTTGTCTTTGCACCGTAGTCTAGTTGTTGAAGTTAAAAAATATCAGTGAAAATGAGTACTTAAAGTTTACATTTTCTTACACACTGACTTTCAAACACCCCCAGAGATTAACCTCATTCAGAAAAGCTTACACAGCTGCACTAGAGAAATGTCAGACAACAGGCAAGGTTTGAGATAGGCACCAGGTTGTGAACTTGCCAGGCCTGAACTAGGAGTTATGTGACAAATTATGAGCCTGGAGACCTAGCATCGCCTGACTGGAACTCCGACCAGTGAAGATTAACTTGATAAATCTGTGAGTGTTCTCCTGTGGTTTGATCTAAGATGTTTGCAATATCAGAATGTTCCGTGCAAAATCCTTTTGTGTGGCAGGGCAAGGAGTATTGTGAGATATTTTGAGTTGTCAAACAAAGCTGTGACTAATAGGTTAAATAATGGCTTCATTCCATTCCATGTGCCCCTGCAGTCACAAGAACTAATGGATAAAACACTGTTAAGGGGAAATTTTAAGTTTGTTTATCTGTATGCAGGCAGTCAAAAATTCAAGTGATTCTCTGGATACTGTTGGAAAAAGTGCTTGGATCTACTGATTAACTCTTAAGCAATGTTTAGCTTAAGTTGTATTCTCTTGAGGAGCCTCTTAAACACTTAATTAGAGCCTAGG